TTTTTCCAACACCATTTATTAAAATGGCTATCTTTCCTCCAATGAGGGTGGTTGGCTCTTTTGTCAAAGATGAGATGGCTGAGTATGTCTGAAGTTGTTTCTGCATCTTCTAATTATGAGATTTATTTTTTAAAACGGCAAAAAAGAAAGCAGAAATACATGAACCTAAAGAGGATGCTCTCCTTGCAAAGCCAACATCTCTTGGGCCAGGGAAGCCAGAAGGACAGGCACTTCTCCAAGACACACTCAGCCCTCACACAGCACCCCACAGAGCGTGCTGGATGCGCTCAGTAAATATCTGTGCAATAAATGAATAAATCAATGGCAGTTGTTTGGGCTTCAGTATAAATGGATCTTGGATCTGAGATATTGCCAGATGGGCAGACAGGTTACAGTCTGCTGTTGCCTCACCAAGGCTATAAAAATGCAGCCATCACTGGGGTTGCAAGCTGACATTTCAGAAGATGATTATATGCACAATTTAACCACACGGCCATTTGTGCCCTCCAAGTGCCATCACTTAACAACTGTGTTCATGTTGTCTTTCTTGCCCGTTCTTTTTTTTTTGAAGTGGAGCACAATTTTTCAAGCATCTCATATTTCTAGCTCAATGTGATTTATTCATATGAAATTATGCTCCATTTTTATAAAACCCAAGTTACTGCAAATGATGCTTGAGGTTTTGCAAAAAATATTAATTCCTGATCTGCTGCTATAAAGCATGCTTGCTTGCTGTGCAGTGGCTCTGTCGCCCTGAGACAGATGGAAGCAGTCCCAGAGTATGATTAACTTCTCAGTCCTGGCAATTTCCTCGTGCTCCTCTGGCCCTAGATTTCAAGATTGACCTCCAGCTTCTCTGCAAATGGACAGTTGCTCAGCTTGATTAAATCACATGAATCCCTTTTCTGATCAGAGTTATCTACTATTTACTACTTAGGAAGGGAAGTTAATCGTATTCCAGGCACCTTGTATGCTGCATATATATCCACCCTTTCTTTTTAAATGCACTCTGCATATGTTTGTTCCACATTACTGGTGAGACTGCAGCTTTCCCAGTGCCGAATCCAAACACATATCTTTACAAATGAGCCTCACAGCCTTTTATCTCCATTCTTTCTCACCCTTTTCCCTACCCACATGGAATGCAATGACCCATAAAAGGGGAAACCATCTGAGATGCACATTAGAAGGAAGTGAATAAGTAAGAAGGATGATGTCCCCTTGCAAACTGAGACCTCTTGTCATTAGCTTGTCTAGCTCATCAAGAATTTTGTCACCTCTCCTGCCCTGGTCACCTGTTGTTTTCATTGGGGCTATTGGTGGGCCTCTGCTTGGCCAGTGGACTCAGTGATACCACATAGACAGATGAAAATAGTGTACGGCCAGGAGCAGCTCAAATTCCCCCTGTGCCTCACTGCTCTGATCCAACTTCGACCTTCAGTGTCCTTCGGCTATTCTCACTGAACCAAACAGGGCAAAAGGTTTTTTTTGGTAGTGATCATAGATGGTTTTCAAAATTACATTGAAGAACTATCATAGTTTTAATTTTTCAAGATTGTGTACTGATGGCAAGACTTCCTAAACTTTAAAGCATAGTCTGGTTGGTTGATGAATACTAGGTACAGTGAGGTAGAAGTGAGAGGTTCTGTGTGTTATTGCATGGTAGGGTGACTATAGGTAATATACTTTAAAAAGCCCAAAGAAAGGACTCTGAATGTTTTTAACATAAAGAAACAATAAACAAGGCGACAGATATGTTTAACTTGATTTACACATTACACAATTTTTGGACATATCAACAAATCACACTGTGCCCTATAAATATCTATAACTGTATGTTTTTATGTGTAAGGTAAAGGTACATTTAATTAAAAGAATACAATCTGAAGTACCAGGTATTGGATTTGTGCTAAAATGCCTATTTAGAAAACTAACCAGGGAACTTTGGAGAAATGAATAGACTGGTAGACAAGAACAACCTCCAGAGACAACTGGACACTCTCTGTCCTCCAACACCTGAGGGATGAGCCCTCCCTGTGCTCGGAAGGGGACAGAAACACATCCCTTTCCTTTCCCCGCTGGCTGCCTCCCTGGGTCAGATCTCCAGGCTCAAAGGCAGGTTTTCTTATAGCAAAACCAGCTTGCTGCAGGGATGTTCACTTCCATCCCCAACGCGGCCAGCACAGCCCTACTTCATCTTCAAGTTGCACATCTGGAATCACAGCGGCTCTGCCCTGTGTAAGCACCCTTGATTCATTCATGGGAATGCCAGAGAAATGGAAGTGAAGGGGCCTGTGAAATGGGGAGCAAAAGTGCAGGGCAATGAGGCTCAGGAGGGGGTGAGGAGCCCCCAGCATGGCCCCAGCCAATGGAGGTCTTTCCTGCTCAGTTCCGTAATCACAGAATTCATGAAGCACTTTGAGGTCTGAAAAATGCTTTTTTTTCTTACGACAAAAATGAAAGTGCTGCTTAATCATTATGAAATTTTATAGAAATAGGTGATAATAGACTGAACTAACAATAGTTTCGGGAACCAGAACAGTTTGTATGAATGAATGTACAAAAGATCAACACAAGGGTTAGTGCCCTCCTTGGGAAGGCCAAGGCCCAAGGAGAGCTTTACTTGATTCCACTCCTACCCTGGGTTTTCTGTGACAGACAGAATACTAGGCAAGTCATTCAGTGGTCCGACCCCTAGCCACATGACTCATTTTTCTAGAAAATATTGGTTTATTTGAAAGAACTAAAACATATGGATCTGATGAATCTAGTAGGTGTTTTAAAGTCCTTATTTTGAAGAAGGGGCTTGAATTGTATTTCCAAATGATTAAAAATGCTAACCCTTATGGGAATTACTGCTGTGGTCCTATATTTGTAGGAAACAGAGGAGAAAAAGTGCAGGGAAGCTTCCTGCAACCAGGATGGTGGACAAAATCATTCATTTGAAATCAGCCAAATTCCCATTTTGAGCAGAAAAATTGTGGATGGAAGAAGAGGCCATGGCCTACTGTATTCAAGAATAGAGAAATTTATAAGAAAAGTGGTGTCAACAGTAAATTCTGTTCCTGGACAGGGAATGGGTTTAACAAGGGATTTTAGTGAGAATATCAGAAAAGAATCAAGGGAGCCTGTAGTTCCAGGACTCGGGAGGCTAAGGCAAGAGGATTATCACAAGTTTGAGGCCAGCCTGGGACACAATAGTGAGTTCAAGGCCAGCCTGAACTACACAGCGAGACTTTGTCTCAAAAAACCCCCACGAAACAAAAGACAAAACAAAATGAGTCAAGGGAACAGAGTTGCTCATCATTAAAATCATACACATTTTCTACCCAGGACTAAGTCATATGTCATTTGGGAAGAAGCCTTTGAACACATCAGTCCTACTTTCTGATGAAATATTTTTGTATGTGCGACCATGTCTTTAAAGGGAGTCCATATTTTCCTAAAATAGGTTTTAGTTCATTGTATCAAAGTCATCATGACATTGTGAGTGTGTATATGCAACTTTATTAAAATATAATTTATATACTATGAAGTTCATTCTGTTAACAGGTGCAATTCAGTGATTTTTAATATAGTAATGGGATTGTGAAAACCTCACCATAATCCGATTTTATAATATTTTCATTGTTCTGAAAAGAAACCTTGTATTCGTTAGCAATGACAAAGTGTTACAAACAGAGAGCTTTCTCTGGCTTCTCAATGCATTTTCTTGAAGGAATCACTTTACTTGAGAGAAGTCAAAAGGAAAAAAGAAATATGTCTAGGAAAAGAATTATTGTGTCACATTTTAAATGAGTTTTGATCCAGAGCCTCTCTTACTTCTACCAACAGACTCAGACGCAGAACAGTTATCAGCTTTTGTGAAAATCCCAGAAGCAATTCCGGATCACGTGCTTGCTACTCTCAGAACATACAGGCTTGTGTGGTTGTCATGGGAAGGTTTTTCAGTAGAAATAAACAGGCTCAGGTTCAGCCTGCCACCTTATAGAAAATGCTTTTCACCCATGCACAACAGAAAACTTGCCTAAGGGACAGGTTTTACTCTGGAAAAGCACTGAACTGAACTTGTTTACACAGTCAGGGACTGCTCATTCTACAAAAGAAAGGAATCAGGAAGGAAGGAAAGGGTTGAAGGCTAGATAATGTTGAGGTCCCTGCTTCTAGCAGAGAGGGACATTACCTAACACTGTCAGCACTTCCCTTGGGGTGCTATGTAGGGGCTTCATCTTTGCCTCCTGACAGATTGTCAACACACACGTACACACACACACACACACGTACACACACACACACACACACACGCATGCATGCACGCAGGCATGCATAAACACCCTTATCTTAGGAAGAAACAAAAGCTCAACAAACCCCCAAAGGGGGATCTGGTCTATTCTAGAAAGCAACTTCATACATTCCTGTCCGACACTCTTTCTGCAGCCTTTTAAGCAAAGTGGGGTACGAATTACAGTTAATGGCTCTGGTCAGGTTTGCATGTCTCATTCAACAACTTAGGTTAGGAGAAACAGGCTAAAGAAGTAGGGAGTAAGAAGTCAGGAGCCCAGGACCATGAGTTGCTGAGTTACATGAAAAAGTCTTTGAAGAGAGAATCCCATCAAAAGACAGATTGCTGCTGGTGAAATAGTAGGGAAAGAGTGAAGAAAGCACCTCAAAATAAATGAACTACTTATTGCTGAAAAATGAGCTTAGATCTCAACTAATTCCAAAGTTCAGAATTTACTGCACCATTCAGGCCTTTCTCCCTAAGTTTCTTTTTTCATTGCCCAATGAGGGATTCTTCGTACTTTATGTGAAATACAACAAGGTGATTTTTGCAGTAATAAACTCCACACATGCATGACAAATCCAAGCATGCAAAATGTTTAACATCCCAGTTCACAGATACTTTAGGGACAAAATCCGATTATGAATTATATGCCACAATAAATAGGGCTCAGTGTTTCATAAGGCAATTTATAGTTCATAAAAATGACAAAATGTACCTGTCAGATAGTGTTCGGAGAGCTGTTCTCTGGGCAGCCTGCTGCAAGAAAGGGCAGAAATGTTTATTTAATATTCTGGCTTTTAAATTATGTGTTCAATCAATACTTAAAAAAACTCATGTTACACACATTTTTATCATGTGGCCAATTTTTAAACTACCCACAACACAGTAGAAAGCCCCATCATGTTATGAAACCAACATTCCTGAAGAATTGAGGGACACTATGGCACCATGGCAATGCCCACCCACCACCAGGGGCAAGCTTGGGAGGGGCCAAAGACTGTCCTGGGGAGGTTGGATGGGTTTGGGGGGAGGGGAGCAGTTTTGTCCTTATCGCTCTGAAATTATCTCCCTGTTGTTGTTTTCTCCTTTCTATAAGAAAAATATCAGTTTTGGCTCCTTTGTCTCTTCCTTCCCAATGAAAATCCAATGTGTGACTTGTTTTTCAGATTTACTGAAAACATTTCCATAGCTAGAAAATGGAAAACAGACAGGAAATCTTGTGATACTATGAGAGAGGAGGGGACTTGCTGTAAAACAAGACCATGGGAAGAGAAAGACGGGGTAGACATATTCGTGAAACAAGATGGCCCTGGGTTGAAGCCTGTTGAATTTAGGTGATGAGCTCATTGAAGGGTTATTATATTATTTTGACCAATTTTGTTTGTGAAAGGAATAAAAAGTATTGTTTTAATTTTCCACCTATTATAGTGGTGAGATGTGTGTGTGGAGTTGTGTGTGTATTAAAATTTTTTATAACAACAACAAAAAACTAAAAGAAGAAAGAAAATGCGAACCCTTCCTACTTCTCCATCATATTTTCCCAGGTTTGTACTCTCTCCCTTTCTTCTGTCAATGTACTTTTCTTTCATTTGCTTCCTAACCCCAAATACAGGGGGCATGCTGTGTTTTCTGTCTCAGAAGCCATGACCAGGGGGTGGTCAGAGCATGGTCTGAAGACTGAAGCCCCTCAGGGTCCAGGAAATAAGGGATGAGCACATGGTCCACTGCACCTTGCATATTACACATGTCCAGCTTATTGTTCACCAGGATTTCCAAAATACTCTGTAGGTTGTTCCCTCATCACATTTATACAGCAGAGAAGAAACACATGTGATCCAAAAATACAGTGAATGTTTACATTAAAAATAAAAAATTTTACTACAGTAAAAGATACATTGCCATTAATCCCTCTCAAACTATTTCTTCACTTCAGACACACCTATCTCACTGTTCTTGCCACTTCCTGAAGCAATTCTGAAACTCTTCTTTCATAAGTGTCTTTCTGTGGCTATCTTGATGTCCTAAATCAATTCAAGATATTTATGCAATTTTTGTCAAATAAAAATATTACTATGTGTCCCCCTCTACTTTATTCACTAGATTTGGTACTGTGTGACTTCTGGATCTTCCCCAAAGTCAAATGGCCATGAAAAGTAAATGTTTGGAATTGATTTATGACACTGAAGTAGCCTTGACAGCACAACTAAAGACACTCATGAAAGATGACTTCCAGAACTGCTTCAGGAAGTGGTATGAATGGTGGGATAAGTGTGTTCAAAGTGAGGGGGAGGATTTTGAAGGGGAGTAATGGCAACATGCTTTTGAGGTAATACATTTAAAAAATATTTAAATATCCACTGTAGGCTTTGATCGTGACATGAAGACAGGATCTTCAAATGAGAAAATGATGCAATTGAACTCATATCCATGTTGCACAGACAAAATATATCCTTGGCGATAGTTTCATGTCCTTGGGTTGTCACCTGGTCAAGCATTCACTGAATTCCTACTATGTGGAGATCATTGTTCTGGGCTCCAGGGAGGATAAAAATAAAAATTGGAGGAGTCATTGTCCTAGAAAAACTCAATTTTTGGCAGGAAATCAGAGTAGAACGCCAGGGAAGATCTGAGATAATATGAAAATAGAAAGATTAAGGTGGAGCTGGGCAGGATAGGGTAGACATGAGTGGTGACTTAGAGTTGAGTGGGACCTGTAGCTCCTCAAACAGTGCCTGGAACTATTAGCAGGTGCTCAGTAAATGCCGGCTGAGTAAGGGTTAAATAAAGGGAGCCACCATTTATTTCCTAAGGACATCTGAGTAGCATTTTAAAGACAAGGAGGGATGTGATCAGCAGAGAAGACATATTGATGGTACTGGGCTAAATGCTATAGCATGGGCCTGCCCAGTCTCTAGCAGTGGTTCTCGACTGGGGAGCCTGTGGAAGTCAGAGAGGTGTCTCTGCCATTCCATGTCAAATGTGTGGATTGGGGATTGAGGGTATTACACTGAGGGACAGGTTTCACCATTCATTCATTATGGACCTTGAGCGTGGCTCTCCATCTACGTCTCAGCCTCCAAACCACCCTTCCCCTCTCTGGACGGGTCATGGAAGGAGTCAGTCATCCAATGTCCAGGCTACTGCGGACAAAAGAGGTGTTCCTATTCCCTGTCCTTGTTCCCTAAATCCTGTTGAGTTAAGGCTCCAGCGTCACAAAATGAGGTCAGGAGAGAAAGAAGCAGTCTGCAGATCTTGATAAAGACACCTGGGGCAGAAGGAAAGGGAAGGGAAGCCTGAGCAGGCAGCTTAGAGGTATCTCAGAGGACCTGTGTCTCTGAGAGCCAGTCCAGGAGGTGCTCACTGACTGCACCCAGCAGGTGACAGGTTTTATAGGCTTGTCCCTGAAAGGGCTCTCCTCTCATTCAGCAAGACAGTTTTGCTTTTGGCAGTGATACTGGAAAAGAACTTCAACTCCAGGTTTTTTTTTTTTTTTGGTACTGGGGATCGAACTTGGGTCCTTGCGCTTGCACAGCAGGCGGCGAAACCACTGAACTAAATCCCCAGCTTCAACTCTAGTTTTGATTCTGTTTGGCCAAATACACCAGTAGTATAGAGAACACCCCCGAAGGAAGGTGGGATGTATGGTTAATGTGGGGCTCTTAACATCATCTCAGCAGGAGGTGCGGGAGGTGGACTGTTCCTGCAATAACAAAAATCATAGAGGTTTGACTAAAAGTTCAATAAAAGCCATCAGCAAGGCATCTGAGTTTTCCCCTAGCCATGGAAACAGACCAGGACCAGCAGAGTTTATTGACTTTTTGCTGCCTCCAAATATTTTTCTTGCTGACTTTTATGACAGGGAAACAGTGCATGTGATGTGGAGTCATCGAGAAAATGATTTAAAATGCAGACGCAAAACAAATGAACAAAACCCAAGAATCAATCAGAGCATGGAGGGTGATGAAGAAGATGAAGCTAATAAAATTGAGGCCTTACATAAAAGAAGGAATCTACTTGCTCCCTTCAGCAAACTTATCATTTATGATACTGTTGACATGCATGCAGCTGCAGACATCTTTAAACACTACATGAAGTATTATAATGACTATGGTGATATTATTAAGGAAACACTAAGTAAAACCTGGCAGATTGATAAAATTCAGTGTGCCAAGACTCTCACTCTCAGTTTGCAGCAGATGTTTAATGAACTCGTTCAAGAGCAAGGTCCCAACCTTGACAGGATGTCTGCCCATGTCAGTGGCACTAAAGAATTGGCTTGATGCTTTGCTCTTACATTTCGATTGGACCAAATCAAGATAAGAGAAGCAGTTGCCATCCTGCACAAGGATGGTATAGAGTTTGCCTTTAAATACCAAAATCAGAAAGGACAAGAATATCCACCTCCTAATCTGGCTTTTCTTGAAGTACTAAGTGAATTTTCTTCTAAACTTCTCTGACAGGACAAAAAGACTGTTCATTCATACCTAGAGAAATTCCTTACCGAGCAGATGATGGAAAGGAGGGAAGATGTGTGGCTTCCACTCATCTCCTATAGAAATTCATTAGTCACTGGGGGTGAAGATGATAGAATGTCTGTGAACAGTGGAAGCAGCAGCAGCAAAACCTCGTCAGTAAGAAATAAGAAAGGACAACCCTCACTTCACAAAAAAAGAGTAGAAGATGAAAGTCTGGATAGCACATGGCTGAACAGAACAGACACCATGATTCAGACTCCCAGCCCCCTGCCAGCCCCACAGCTTATTACTTCCACTGTGCTGCGAGAGAACAGCCGGCCCTTGGGAGAACAGATTCAAGAACCTGAGTCTGAACATGGTTCTGAACCAGACTTTTTACACAATCCACAGATGCAGATCTCTTGGTCAGGCCAGCTGAAGTTAGAAGACCTGAATTAGAAGGACAGAACAGGAATGAACTACATGAAAGTGAGAACTGGAGTAAGGCATGCTGTTCGGGCTCTAATGGAAGAAGATGCTGAGCCCATCTTTGAAGATGTGATGATGTCATCCTGGAGCCAATTAGAAGATATGAATGAAGAATTTGAAGACACCATGGTTATTGATCTGCCTCCATCAAGAAATTGGTGAGAGAGAGCTGAGCTGAGGCCAGACTTCTTTGACTCTGAAGCTATGATAGAAGATGATTCAGGATTTGGAATGCCTATGTTCTGAAACCTAAAGAAAATTTACAAATCTGGAACTCTATTATTTAGAGCTAGAGGCCTATATACTGTGCTAGCTTCTATGGGGAAAAAACACTTTTGATGTGATCTGATTTGTTTTTTAATCAAATGATTAAGGTCAATCCATTTTTGCAGTGACAGAGAAGAGGAGCATGTAAATTACCCAAGGAAGTATTGGTGAATGTCATCTCATAAAGACTGACCCAAAAAATTGTTTGTGTCCTAATATTGGACTTATCTCAGTACAGATGTGTTTTTCTGGAGGGAGGAAGAAATTTTAAATTTTTAAAACAGCTGTCAAGATAAACACTGTTATACACCTGTTTTATGAAAACTCAACATTGAGTAAAAATTTTTTTAACTTTATTTTCCTATTGTACAATTTAAAAACCGTTTTATCATTTTGCCTTTCTATGTTTTAAAAGCTAACCATTTTTATTAGACCTATGAGTAAGCAGCTTATCCTAATTGCTGAAGAGTATTTTTGGAGCTCACTGGATTTTGTTGACCTCGTGAACACAGAAACATGAAAGAACACAACACTGACAAGCTAAGA